TCCCCACAGGATTCCTTGCCTTTTCCCTGCTGTTTGGTGGGTGGCGGGGCAGAGGGTATCTACTGGCTGGGTTTCCCAGGCTCCCTTGATGAATGGGCTTAGGCTGGGTTTGGCCAATGGGAGGCTCTAGCAAGACAGCAGAAGTGGGGAGGGGGGTGGGGGACGGTGGAGAGGAAAGAGCAATATTTCCCCCCTCCTCTCTGTCTCTGGGGGGCCTCTCCAGTAGGGTTTCCTACAGGCCAGGCCAGCTGTGTTTCCACCCTCCACAGGTGACCCTAGTAGCACTGCTTCTCCCTCTGTCCCTCCAGCCTAGGGTTGGTAGCCTCAAGAACCCATTGAGTCGATTCTGACTCATAGCTACCATATAGGACAGGGTAGATCTACCCTATAGGGTTTCCAAGGTTATAAATCTTTATGGAAGCAGCCTGCCATATGTTTCTCCCAAGGAGTGGCTGCTGGGTTGGAACCACCAACACTTCTGTTCGTAGCCGAGTGCTTAACCACTGCCCCACCAGGGCTCCTGCCTTCAATTTCTAATCTCTGAGTTACCACACCTCCCCGGTTGGTTTCTCCCCGGTTGGTTCCCCAGACTCTTCTGTTACCTGTGTAACCAACTCCCTGCGTTACACTCCCTTTGTTTTAAATACTCAAAGAGTGGTTTCTGTCCCATGGTTGGCTCTGACTGATATACCCTGATAAGGCAGAAAGAGAATGGTTTGTAAAGCTATGTGACCTTGGTCAATGATTTAACCTTTTAGTTTTCTCCTACTATAAGGGGTCAATGGTACCTACCTCAGAAATTGGCATATTTATGAAACCAGCTAATGTTAATAAAGAATCTGGCCCATTGCCTAATTCATCTGAAGAACACAATCAAAGTTATTTCACTCCCTTCTTCTCTGACATCGATCTGATTTTGGTAAATTAAGAGACAGTAAATGAATATGAGAATTAAACTAAGGTATGAAGGTTTCATCTTCTAAGGCTGTATACATCACAGTAGAAGAATTCTGTTTTTCACCTTCCTTAGACAGTACAAAGGAACAAGGTCCATCTCATAAGTTTTTGTTTAGTACTTTATCTCATAATTTTATTATATTAGTCTTCCATCTCCATATTCCAAAAAACTAAACCCATTGCAATTGAGTCAATTCTGACTCATAGTGACCCTACAGGACAGAGTAGAACTACCCCATAAAGTCTCCAAGGAGCACCTGGTGGATTCAAACTGCCGACCTTTTGGTTAGCAGCCATAGCTCTAAACCATTACACCACCAGGGCTCCATCTCCATATTACAGCCTAGGAAAAATAAAGAACACTCTACAGCAAATTGGTCACAGAGATGACATTAAAATTCCTAATTCCCATGCTTTAAAATACTTTGGATGGGTGTGTGTGTGTTGGTGGGGGGTGGGGGTTGGATAAACAAAACAAGATAGGCAAACACTGATCATTCTTGGTTTCGGGTACATGGAGAGCTCATTATACTATTCTCTCTTCTTCTGTGTATGTGTAAAAATTTTCCTAATAAAAAGTTTTAAAAACTTTATAATCCCCTTATTTCAAGAGTATGTGTCTCCCCTGTATCACCCAAAGGCAATATCTTAGCCATTTTACTTAGTTTCAATACTGAAAACCTCAAACTCATAAAGAAGGCTAATATGAGAGGCAGGCTGATTTATTCAAAGGAAAAAGAAAAATCAGTGAGTACCCACCATGTGCTAGGTGCTACAGGGAGAATGATCATTTTGGAAATGTAAGAAAATGGAAGGCCTGGCTTTCAATTCATGATACCTTTCTGCCCTTCTACAAATATTTATTACCAAATTATAAAAATATAGGAATAACTATCTTCGGGATTCTCATATAAAGAAAATACATATTAAGGATTAACTACAGAACTATAATTCTTAAACTCCTATGCTTCATTGAACCCCAAGTATGCTTTTTATTAACATTTTAAGACTCTGAGAACAAGACGAGGTGCACTGCAAGGGTATACACCTTTGCCCAATTTTCAGAGGTAGCATTTACTGCCTAATCACCACAGTGTAGCTTCTGGGATCCAGCTGCAGTAAAGCTTTTTGAGTTTTTCTGTTAAGGCAAGGGAAGTATGAGAATTTACATAGTTGTTTTATTGCTATTGTAGTGCCATAAGGATAGAGTTTGGTTTTATCTACGAAAAATGCAAGCGAAGACCAGGTAAGGATCATCTGAACAACTTTTGTATCCATAACACTCTGCATGGAAACTGACATACAGTAGGTGGACAGTAAGCAAATGTGAACATTGTTGGTGTTTTTCACCTCACTCTTGTTTCTGTGGGTTCCCTTTGTTTACTAATGAGCCCACAGAATGATCTAGAGTCAAAATGAATTCCATGCATTTTCAGGAAACTAACCATAGACGATTTTCTCTTCTGGGTTAACTGACTTGCCCATCCCAGCAGGCAACTTGAATATAAACAGTATTTGTTGGATGGAGCTGTGTTTGCATTTTTCTTAACTGGAAGACACACACACACACACACACACACACGTATTTTCTTTAACAGTAGCTGAAAAGCTTTTTGGATAAGTTTTCATTAAAAGAAAATGGCGCAACTTGAAGAGCAGAACTTTAGAATAACATTAATAGGATTTCCTTCTTAAAATCACCTTAAGGGAAAAAAATGATATCGTCTACCTAGAGCAGTCTTGTGTTCCACACAGACAGTTCGCTCAGAACTAATTACCCACGCATCCACCTTTGAATTCCAAATGACCACCCACTGTTTCCACCCCCAGAGAGCTACATCATTCTTTAAAAATCACTTGTAGAATATAACTTTCTGGGAAGTGTCAAAACTAAGTAAAAATATCAGGAGATGTTACTTTTAGTTTGAAAAGCTCATCTGCAACGGGGAGCAAACCAACTCAGGGGTTGCCAACCAAAAGAGGAAAGCTGTATTCTGACCCCAGTGCTCCCCAGCACCCCAAAGCCAGTGCGGTTTTCTGCAGACCCTTTAATTTTGCATTCCTTACTCCTAAAATTCACTGCAGCCAAGTGGTCAGTCCTGCCACGGAAGGCTTGCAACACTCCTCCCAGGCTGGCTGTAATGAATGACCAGGCTTCCCAAATGGCTGGGCACCTTGATCATGCTGCCACTGGGGCCATCGGTCTAATTAGGCTAAGAAACACCTTTAATTAACATGGCTTAATTGAATCAATTTATGACTTGCGAATGTTATTATGGGTTTAAACCAAATTTACACTCATTCATGCTACATCATTATGATGTTCATCAGACGTACTTCAAATTTAGCATTTTAAAGGTTTTGTTTTTTAACCCTGACAACATAATTCTTCAGAAAATAAGATCAACAGTATTGATGATAACCAATGTGGAAATACACATTACAAAGTTTCACTTA